GTCAAATTTTTATGATATCTTCAAACATATATTTTATTCAAAAATAAAAACATCATCGCTTTCTCAAAATCACATAAAGTCATATTATAACATCAACTGAGATAAATAATAAAATGAAATATTAAAATCATGATATATCTCGCTGCATTGCGCGAGTACGTTTCTAGTTGTCTTCTAACAGAAAACTTAATTACCTTATTAAACCTAAATTAAATTATAATAAAAAAAGTTGAATTAAAGAAATTACACAACAAAACAAGAACTTTTAAATACTTAATTTGACACTAATATCGATATGTTTTTTTTAATTTTAAGATATCTTCACAAATTTATATTTTATTCAAAAATAAAAACCTTATCGTTTTTCTCAAAACCACATAAAACCGTATTATAATATCGGTAGGGACAGAATAAAACGAAACATTAAAATCAAAATGTATCTCGCTGTATTGCGCGATTACCCTTTTAGTAAATAGCCAATAAAACAACATCAACTAACCCAAAAACTAGGAAATAAAATAGGCAACAAAATAGACTAAATCAAACTTACTGGCTCCTAAACTTTAGGAACTTATTCAAACCATCTACTAACTTAGTCAACAACAAAATGAACTTTATTATCTTCCATATATATCTCAATCATAATTAATGAATCATGATAATTGTTCATAAATATATCTATTTTTCCAAACACAACCATTGATTATGGTTTGCATAGTTTGTTAGAATTAGATGGTTTTTAAATGAAATGTCCATAAATATTATATGTGATACAAAGATTTGCCGTCATAAGTCACGCCTTGAAAAAACGTCAACCTTGTCGTGGCTTCTAAGGCTTGAGAGTTGGCCTCGCCGCCACGCCATGCCACACGCTATGTAGAACCTTGCTCATGATCTCAAATATCTTTGCATTGTATGGCAATTATGTTTTCCAGTTTTAATAAGAAGTGATTAACAGGCCTTAAAGTGGTAGACTTTGGCTTTTGTTACCTACAACAATTGTGATAAAAATGTTACAATAAGTTGATAGTACGATTTTGGATTTTTGAACAAGTTTTTAACGACACTTTTGAAATAAGGTGTCTTCTTAGCTTTCTTATCCAGCCCTTGTCGTTTTAGACATTTTACCAAATAATGTCATATAAAAGGATTAATAGAACTCTTTATTTAAAAGGGTCTTAAAAACTTGTTAGAACGTCCAAAAATGTAATATCAACTTATTGTAACAATTTTTACATAGGATGCACCATTTTCTCGTCCTATACACATAAGTTCTATAAAGTTGTTTATTAAAACAATTAACCATATCTGGCGTCATATAAAGTTGATATTGTTGTAGTTATACCGTGTGAGATATGTGGAACCGATGGTATTACTCTCCAAAGAAGTAAGGAAAAACGGTTCCACCTTCCGACACATATTGGGAAGAAATTATCCAAGTATAATTGATGTGGGTCTTCGACACACGTCTTCAAAGTGTGAAAGATTGCCTTGTCTCTCAGATAATCCAAGTTGTACCAAAGACTTATCATCTCTTTTGACAATCTTCATCTTATTTCTAAGTGTTTATGTTCTTCTTCAAGGCCATTCTTTAGCATGTTAATTGGGTGATTTGGTTTTACATTGTTTATAGCATTTCATCAACGAATGTAAAACTATAGCCCACCTCAGTGCCTTTATCATTTCTATCAAAAGGCAAAATTAATACGTCTCATCATTGCATGTATAATTTGTATATGTGTATCTTTGTTATCTCATTTTGCAGTGTAATCAAAAGTTTTAGGTGTAACAGAGTCTCCAAAAAAATTAAAACATCCCTATTCTTCTTCCACCATGTGTCTACAACTTAACCTTGAAGTTCTTTTACTTTGCTTCATAGCATTTTCTTGTGTTGTGGGTAGTACAGGTTCTGAACCTACTGCTGCTTTCTCTTAGAATATAGCAAGAATTTTAATGTGTATTACAAGTAGCAATCACAGTGCATTAGTACTCCCACATACATACGCTTGGTTACACTGAGAGCTTTATAAATTCAAACATGTTTATTGGCAACTCTCATTGTGATGAAGCTGGCGTGTAGTCGTCTACCTTCTTGAACCATCTTGTGAGCACGTCCTTTACGTTTTGCAAGTTTTCGTTGCTACCACTTGATTTGAGTTATTTATTGTCATTTATAAAAAGGTAAAAAACACACATCAGAAACACCTGTAACCTATGTTTTAGACGAGGGCGGTTGATAGACCTACCTCTGAGTGGGATATACTGTACTCGTTTGGTTTGGTTTGGTTAGGTTAATTGTCATACATGCTACAACATCGTGTTCATATTTTCTTCCAGGAATTTCAAGCAAAAGTTGAAATTATTGCCTTTCTTTAATCATTGTTTCCTCAATTTATAGCTTACTGAAAACCTTTTGTTATAAACTTACACCCTTTAACACATCTATGCATTTTGTAGTATGAAATTTCCATGTGCCTACTTCTAAACTCTAACATTCTTGTTCTGCATTTATTTCAGAATGCTGCTATGAGATCCATGTTAGAGATGTAATGTGAGAAGAAGCACATAAAAAAGCCTGATATCAAAGCGTCTTTGGCCTAGCAGTATCCGAGCATTTGGCTTCCCAGAAGGTCAGGGGTTCAAACTTCACCAAAGGTTAGGAGGGTTAGTGAGTTTATATGTTGCATTTGTCGTATATAATATTATATACTTCCTAAAATAGCCTGATGACAATGCTTATTTTTCTTCTCATGCATCTCAAGTGATTTTGAAAATCAACCAACGGCCCTACTTCTTGAATCTTGTTCATTCTTATATGCAGCAAACAGTTTCTTGTTTGCAACTCTTTCTATTTATTTTGTTAATGCTTACTCATATCTAGCTTTTCAAATCTTAGCTTATCTGTTTTTTTCACTTTGACACACTTCTTACTAGCCGGAGGTTTCTCGGAAACAATCGCTCTGCTCTTTAGGGTAGAGGCCGGTCTGCATACATCTTACCCCCTAAGACACCACCTTCGGGTGGGATATAATGGGCTCATTTCCTTTGGTTTGGTTTGTGGTTTAGAGTTAACTCCTATTTCCCACTGAGGTACTACTGGCCATCGTACATGTAGATTTAAGATTTCGTTGTTAGTTTTTGTACGTTTTTGGAGTAGAGATTAGGTTTGCGTACATCTGCCTCCAAACCCCACAGGGATATACTGGGTTAGTTTGGTTTGGTTTAGTTTCCGTAAATCTCCATCAACGAATATAAATTATCTTATAAATCATTTTAGTACTTTGAGTGAGACTTTCAAGTTAAAGAACCAAGAGGATGAATCATGTTAAAACCAAACCCATATCACATGAATGATTGTAGCAATTTTACTTTGTGAAAACAACCTTTTTTAGACATTTATATACCCTGTCCTTCAATTTTCATGGTGGTATTGTTTTCCTTATTCTTTTTAAACAAGGCTGCTACTTTTGGTCCTCTTGAAAGGGGCACTCTCATTTGTATATGCATTTGGTATTTAGACAGGACTGGATTGGATAGGACTTGACATGGGACAGTGAGGTTGGCAAAAGAATTGTGGAAAGTTTTAGGGCTTTAACTTGATATTGATAACGTAGGTGCCATTTACCAAACGCTTACCCCGAGTAAGTACTTACCAAGTCACTTTACTTTACCGGATGAATATGGCGAGGACTAAGAATCTTACCCGGTAAGAGCGAAGGCAAGAATGTCTTACCTGGTAGGTGAGGATGGCGACTCTTACCATGGTTAGCGCTTACCGGGATAAATTGTTGCATACATACGATGCGTTTTAGTGAATAAAATCTTACCCGGTAAGTAAGCAATAGTGTTGAATTTTACCGATAAGTGCTTACCGGGTAAGCGTTTAAGTAAACGGCCCCTTAGTAATTTAATAAATTTGCTTCATAATTCTGATTTTTAGTAAGAATTATGAGATCTTTTGGTTTGCTCTTGTTTTAGTTCAATTGGGTTAACATTCAAAGTTACTTGTTAGTTGAGATTATCTCGAATTTGATGGCAATTCAACATGGGGTTATAGAAATGATGGAATCCGATTTTGGTAAGTTGTCCATTGGTGAGATTTCGTGGGAAACCGATGAGAGTTGAATGAAAGAGTTTTTTAGTAATTATGGTTAAAATACTCTTTCTATTGACCCTCATCGGTTTTCCACGAAATCCCACCAATGGACACCTTATCAAAATCAGATTCCATCTTTTCTATAACCCCATGTTGAATTGCCATCAAACTCGATATAATCTGAACTAACAAGTAACTTGGATGTTAACCCAATTGAACTACAAGAAAAACAAACCAAAAGATATCATAATTCTTACTGAAAAGGCATATCCGTCTCGCTCTAAGCCGCCATGATTTCGTAGGACGGTGCGTTTCAGAGGGTAACGTATATTTTTTTCCATTCGTTATAAGAGTATATATTAAGCCAAAAATAGGACCTACATTTGCCTTAGACATTCTATCTGGCACAACTATTACTCTCTTTGTGAACATGTTCCTCTTTGTTCTTTGGAATCTAAATTTCTGAAAACTTTAGTTTTATAATTCGATTCTTCATGCCAAAATGATGACCATTTGCAGGTCAAAAGTCACAGCAGTTGTGTTTAGGTTGGTTTCCACTGTCTTTTTATTTTATTTTACTTTATTTTATTTTATTTAATAATTGAAAATTGGAAAATGAAACAAGATATGTGGTTTTTTATTTTATTTTATTTTATTTTATGGATTGTTGAATAATTAATATGTGGTGAATCACTCATACAGTTGCTTAAGTTTTTGACCATGTTCTCGTTTGATCCTCGATATCACTCGGAGAGAGGGGGAGGTTTGTTAAGATATTGAGTAAATTATGTTTTTGTCCTTGTGGTTTGTTAAAAATTACGATTTTCATCCCTATGGTTGAGAAATTGTGGTTTTCGTACCTATGGTTTTCTAATTCATTGTTATTTTTGTTCTTTATGATTTACAATTTATTCTTGTTTCGGCCCCTGTGGTTTATAATTCTTTATTCTTTTTGCCCTTGTACTTAAAGGTAGGAATTTGAACCACAAGGGTGGTGCCTGATTAGTTTGAGCTTGACTTCAAAGGCCAAAAGTACCAGGAGGTTTCAGATTCAAATCCAAGGAGGAATAAAAATTCTCTTGTGGTCACGGAGGTTCAAATGCGGTGACTCCGTGCTATCTGCAAAGCAGGTGGTCGCATTGGGATTAATCGGCTCGCATAGCGGGTTGGATATCCAGGTTAATAAAAAAAAGGTAGGAATTTAGTCCAGAGACAAAAAAATCAATAAATTACAAATCATAGACTAAATTAGTTTAAACTTTTTGGTCTTGTTTAAGTCTTAGTTTAATATTTTGGTAGTCTTTTTACTAGTTCAATAAATAGTAATATTGTATAGTTTTTTGGTATAAAAAACCCCCGTTTCACCGTTGGGGACAGGGACACATACGGGGGATCGGGGACGGGGATGGGTATTGGGATCCCCGCCCCATTCTCATCCCTAGACTAAAATCCCAATTTTTAAACTACAGGGACGTAAATGGAACATATTAACAAACCATAGGGATGAAAATCATAATTTACTCTAAAATATTCATGATAAATATCGTAACAATATTCATGAATAAAATTCATTATGAATACTAAGATATATTTTTTTTTGGGTTCTTAAAATATTTAAGGCCTATATATATGTATGTATTTATTGTATGTCAATATGCATGGATACGTAATGTATACTTGTATATGCATACACACTAATACAATATAATTATTTATACCAAAACTAGTGTCATTTATGAAGACACGACTCTAAAGTTATCTCGGGTGTCACTTGTACTAACGATTTGTCGCCAGATGGAACGTTGTGCACGACACGTCCATACGACGTCGTCATCACCCAACCTGACGTTAGTGCTCGGAGACCCATAAATCCAACATGTGGCTAAAAGAGAAGCGGATCGATAGTTCACTTAATACATTCACCTGTAGCTCTCGAGAGTGCCATACAATTAATTTAGTACTTTCCACCTTTTACTTTCGTTTATCGTATTTACTCTTTATTGTCGTATCTTCGTGCCTACCATCATAAATGACGTCAAATTGCTTTAATGGATTGATGGTAACTGAAGTTGCCTAATATATTTAGGGATGGCAAAAAAAACCGAAACCGATGGTGAAAACCGAAACTTTCGGGCCGGGTTTGGGGATATCTTATCGGGGGCGGGGCGGGGATTGGGGACAAATTCGGGGATTTTAACAGGGGAGGGGGGCGGGATGGTGATCACCGACCCGGCCCGATATGTATATATATATATATATATAATATCATTAAAACAAAATAATAACATTAAAATTTAAAAGACTTTTATCCACTTTACCTCAACAACCCAAATAAAGCTCACGAAAAAATCTAGTTTATTTGTTTAAAATCGTGATTTTAGTTGTATGATTTTTGAATTTCTGTTTAGTTTTAGATTGTAATCTAATACATTGTTTGTAATGGTTCGATTATGTTTGAGACATTTAAACTTACATCTTTAAAAAAATTGTAATTTACTTTTAATTGTGAAAATTAGCATATTGTAATTTTTTTCAGAACGGGTTCGGGTTTCGGTTTCGGGTTCGGTTATAACCAACGGTGAAAAGGATGATTTTTACCCTTAACGGGTTCCCCAATGGGGGTCGGGGAAACCACGGGGACCCGATGGGGATCCCCAACAAGGATCAGGGCGGTTACAGGGACGGTTTTAGCTATCGGTTTCGGGGACGGGGATACCAATACCCGGCCCGTTGCCATTTCTATATATATTTACCGTCTTTGGGGGGTTTCCCTTTACCAATGTATCATTTGTCTTTTATCTTTTCTTTTTCTTGCTTTATTTTTACGTTGTTTTTACTTTATTTGGATTACATATCGTTGTTAAATCAAGCTTTAATCGTCAACGTACCAAACTCGATTGACGTTACTATTAAGTGCATATTTGGTGTAAATAGTAATGTTTTACGATTATAGGTTTAAAATTCTCTCTAAATTTTTGGTAAAGGGATGAGATCATGGAAGAACCTTGAGAGAAGAAAGAACCAAAGAACACATCCAAATCGTTGGATTGAGATGATCTAATGGATGTGATTAAAAAAATTGTTATCCCATCTTTCTTTAAAGTACAAATATTTCACCTTAATTTTTAAATCAAAAAGCTATGAAATCCAAAAAAAAAAAGTTGGAGTAAAACAAATTACACTAAAAAAAGGATAATTTATCATCTTTAATTTGATATCAATTTTGATATATTTTTTCATCCGTTTTTTCATAGTTCTCTGGTTCTTTTTTTTCCAAGATTCTCTCTAGATCTGTTGTAAATTGCAATATATAGTAATATATTTTTTATCTGATTAATATCAGGGTCAAAATTTGAATTCTCTTGACAGTTGAATAGTTGTTATAACTGCTTTTGAAAGTTGGATAACTTTAATAACAATTTTATATAGTATTATATTACTTTGATCAGTTTTGTTGATTTGTTGACATAATTACTCAGGAATGATTAGTAAGGGTGATTGTTGGAAATGTCATATCCGAATTGAACTGAATTGAATAAGCTTGATCTGGTTTTTGAGCATTTTGGTTTACAAAAATTTCAAATCTTGTTATTCGGTTTGTTTTCTGGTTTGTAATTGAGACAATGAATGATGCTTGATATCGATTTTACTCCATCTTTTGTCATTCTCTTTGCGTGCATGTGTGAGAGAAAGAGATTTTTTACTGTGAGAATATACTGAAAATTCGATTCAGTTATGAAACATGCTTATAGTCATAATTAATGTGTGATCCATGATGAATAACATTTTTATATTTATTATATGATCATGAATATGTTATTTATGATGAATATTAATCCTGAAGAGGGTCATGTGGCGTCAGTAGCGGACCCAAGATTTTTGTCGAGTGAGTGCATCTTTATGGTGGATCAAAGGCTTGTAAAATCGTCCAGCTTGTTTTTAGTTGATTTTTACCGTTTTGAGAGATATCTTAAGTTAGTTGATTTTGATGGATTTTTTTAGTTTTTTGGTTGATTTCAAACAGCTTTTTCCGATTTTTTAGTTGATTTCGAAGGACTTTTTCCGGTTTTTTAGTTAATGTTCCTTGTATTTTCTAATATTCCGAACACCTTTCAAAGTTTAGTGGGTGCATCTTTCATATCCTAAAAAGATATACTACAAAAATAGGTTGAGCGGTGTACGGAACCCCTTTTGGAGCTTAATAGGTCCGCCTTGTGTGTCGTGTTGTGAACAGTTTCCAGACTTAATATGACATGTGTATCGTATGTGATAAAATATAATATCATATCTGATTGACTATAACAAAAAAAATGTTCACATTCTTTTATATATATCTATACTACATTAATAAGCATTTAGACAAAAGTCTTAATTACAAGTCTTAAAGCATAAAGTACTATCAATTTATGTAAAAGATTCAAAATCTCTTAAGTACAAACTATTATGCATAATGTACAAATGCTTAAAACATATCATTTGTCTGGTCAAAGTTTTAGATTTAAGTAAGCCATATTTACATGAAAAAATATTTTTTTTCTTCCCAAAGTTGTTTGATACTTTATTTGTTTCTTATTCTAAACCCAAATTCAAATTCAAAGTTCTTCTTTTTCTTGAAATAAACTGAAATTTGAAACAATAATATCAGAAAAGGTTTCAAATCATGTATGTACCTCACCCTAACCCTTCAACTTTATATGGGTTTAGAAACTCACCTGCGTTGCATCGTACGAATACATCACTAGTATGTATATATATATATATATATATATATATATATATATGTGTGTGTATTTCTTTTCAATATTCTTTACTGTGAGAACACACTGGAAGTTTGAATATGGAATGCCTTTGTGAAAATCAGTACTTTTTGGTCACGTAGGACATCAATTCCCTCCTTAAAACACGACGACAAGTATACAAGAAAGGGCAATACAGTAAAATGACACGAATTCCATCTTATATATAATCACCCTCGTGGCCCCACATAATTACAAATATAACCCCACAATTGACAGCTACAGAACAGTGTTTGACTCCCTCCCCTTTCTCACGATCTTGCTGTAAACCCCCCGCCCTCTAATTAGACTCCCACCAACACCAACATATTCACAAAGTGGTTTCCTTTTCTTCTCTTTTCCTGATCGATCACCGATTTCCATTTGCTTTTTGGGTTTTCTTCGTCCGATCGTTTCTGGGTCTTGAATTCTTTTTAAGGTTTATATACAGAAAGACAATCAAAAATGGCTTCTTATGGAGGAACTACACAGAAGTGTAAGGCTTGTGAGAAGACTGTTTACTTGGTGGATGAACTCACAGTTGACAATAGAGTTTATCATAGGGCTTGTTTCAGATGCCACCATTGCAAGGGGACTCTCAAGGTTTTTTTTTTTTCAATTTCTTTTTGATGATTATAATCTCATGATCCAGTCTTTATTTGTTAGAATTATGGTGTTGTTTCTACCAGATGTTGGTTTATTGGTCTGATTCTTGGATTTTAACCAATTTTTTTGCTGTTTTTGATCTGGGTTTTTTGTGCTTATTGATTTAGAGTAGCCAAAGTTATGTTTTGGTTTGCATGATAGAAGTTTCATGTTAATTCAGGAGGAGGGGGGTTAGTTTAGATGAATCTTTTTAGGTGTTTTTTTATCTGGGTTCTTTGTGATTATTGATTTAAACCAAAGTTGATGTTTTTGCTTGCCTGATTGAAGTTTCTTGATAATTCGATGGATTTTTTAGTTTTTTAATCAATCTTTCCTGCTGTTTTTGATCTGGGTTCTTTGTGATTATTGATTTAGAGTAACCAAGGTTGCTGTTTTTGCTTGCCTGATTGAAGTTTCTTGATAATTTGATGGATTGTTTAGTTTTTTAATGAATCTTTCCTGCTGTTTTTGATCTGGGTTCTTTGTGATTATTGATTTAGAGTAACCAAAGTTGATGTTTTTGTTTGCCTGATAGAAGTTTCTTGATAATTCTATGGATTTTTTAGTTTTAATGAATCTTTTCTGCTGTTTTTCATCTGGGTTCTTTGTGATTATTGATTCAGAGTAACCAAAGTTGTTGTTTTTGTTTTTTCCTGATTGAAGTTTCTTGATAATTCGATGGATTTTTTAGTTTTAATGAATCTTTTCTGCTGTTTTTCATCTGGGTTCTTTGTGATTACTGATCCAGAGTAACCAAAGTTGCTGTTTTTGCTTGCCTGATAGAAGTTTCTTGATAATTCAAGGGTTTTTTTAGTTTTCATGAATCTTTTTAGCTGTTTTTGATCTGGGTTCTTTGTGATTATTGATTTAGAGTAACCAAAGTTATGTTTTGGTTTGCATGATAGAAGTTTCTTGATAATTCTATGGATTTTTTAGTTTAAACGAATCCTTTTAGCTGTTTTTGATCCGGGTCATTTGTGATTATTGAATAGAGTAACCAAAGTCGATGTTTTTGTTTACTTGATAGAAGTTTCTTGATAATTCAATGGATTTTTTAGTTCTAATGAATCTTTTGTGCTGTTTTTGATCTGGGTTCTTTGCGATTATTGATTTAGAGAAACAAAGTTGATGTTTTTGCTTGCCTGATTGAAGTTTCTTGATAATTCGATGGAATTTTTTAGTTTTTAATGGATCTTTCCTGCTGTTTTTGATCTGAGTTTTGTGTGATTATTGATTCAAAAGTAACCAAAGTTGATGGTTTCGCTCGTTCTAAAGATTTCGTAACAATTTGAGGGCTCTTCTAGTTTTCATGAATCTGTTTCCTATTTATGATCTGGTTTAACGTGATTATTGATTTAAAGTGACCAAAATTCGAAGTTTTGGTTCATCTGATAGAGATTTCTCAACAATTTGAGGGTTCTTTTTTTGTTTCAATGAACATTTTCGCTATTTATGATCTTGGTTTTGTGTAATTATCGATTTTAAATAACGAGAACAGAACTTATTGATTTATCTGATGAAGTTTTCTTGAAAATTTGAGGTATTCTTGGGTTCATAACTCTGAATTTGAAACTTTCATGTAATTATAGATTCAGATATTGTTGTTCGTGGCTCGTTAAGCATCAAAAAGACATCCCCTATGACTCAAATATCTGCTTCTAATTCGTGTTGTTCAATATTCTCGATATGAAAAAACCGATCTTTTTAGTGATGTCTTTCGATTTGTTTATTGCAGTTGAGTAATTACAGCTCCTTTGAAGGAGTTTTATACTGTCAACCTCACTTCAATCAACTCTTCAAAATGACCGGCAGTTTGGATAAGAGCTTTGAAGGTTAGTCGATTTTACTGTTTCTTTCTCTATTATTAAGGGTAAAAGTGTCATTTAGTTAATTGAAAAGTGTAATGATTACATATTCCTAAAACTGCGAGTCATTTTCATTGTGGACGTTTATTTTGGGACGGGGGGAGCAACAGAAAAAGAGAATCTTTGTATGCGGAGATTGATATCATAGTGTAAAATGACTTGAAATGACATGTTAAAAAAACAAATCGGAAAAGCATAGGGGGCATAATTGGAAGAAGAAAAAAAGCCCTTTAAGAGCTTATTGAAACGCTACTGGAAGTAGTCTTTCAAAAAGCTAGTTTATGGCTAATTAAGTGGGGCTTTATTAATAAGCTCGAAAAATAAGTTATCTTACGGTTGCAAAACATGGCATGAAATGCACCCGGATATGAAATTGTTGTAATTTTCAAGGGAAGAGACGTTGTAACGTTGCTACTAATTTTCTCTTTGTCATGTAGGTACCCCCAAAACCGCTAGAGCTGATAGATCCGATCAGGTACTTAACAATAAAAAACATTATCGTGATGCCCTACTTGTTTTAATCTTATTTCATGTTGTTTAACCACATCGGGTGGGGAGGGGAACTAAGGTTGCCTTATAAAGGACTGAATACCTCCTCTATCAAACGCGTTCTAAAAACCGTGAGTCCAAGTGTGTGGACAAAGCGGACAATATCTGGTAAGGTTGGTCTGGGATGTTACAAAACTTGCCCCAGGCTTCTTCCTTGTGGGCAATGGGATCTTAAGTCAGCCACCTAACAGGTGGTTGTATACATCACTTGCCTCTCCCATTAAGCTCTTGAAGTGGCCTGCCCAGTGGTTGCCAGTTACAAACCCTTTTGCACAGACAATTTCTTTATGTTACCCATGGGTGTCTGGGCCACGTTGCACGAACCTCAACTAATTCCAAAGGCCCAGGAAATCCCCATTGAACTTGCAGGACTCGAATTGGTGACCTATGAGGAGGAGCCCCAAAGGCTCGAGACTTATTGCCAATTTTTTGGAGCTAATTGCACACACAGTTAAACATTTGAGATGAATGCATTGTAAGATAAGAAATCTTAGGAACAAAACAACCATGGAGTATTGTATCATGTGTGCATGATTATCGATGTGCCAATACTCATTTTTTATAAACTTTCAGGGCCAATCTAACAGCAGAGTATCAAGTATGTTTGGTGGAACACAAGATAAATGTGTAACGTGCAAGAAAACCGTCTACCCAATTGAAAAGGTAATATCACACTTGTTAGACATATCTGGATATGTTGCAGTCTAAAGCTATGTTTGGCAAACTAGCTTATAAGCTAGATGTTGGCTGATAAGCTAGTTGTTGGCTGATAAATTAGTCACGTTTTATAAAAAAACTAGCCAAAAGCTAGTTGTTGGCTAATAAGCTAGGCGTTGGTTGAAAAGCTAGTTCTTGGCCAATAAATTAGTCACGTTTTGTAAAACCTGGCTGATAAGCTAGTTACTGGTTGATAAGTTAGATGTTAGCTGAAAAACCAGTTGTTAGCTCACTCGTTTGGTAAAAACTAGTTGATAAGCTAGATAACAGTGTGAAATGACCTAAAAGACGAGGGGGTTCATTTGTGAAAAAGCCTTCGGAGTTGGGAGCTTATTGAATGTTGCATGTAGTAGTTTTTTAAAAAGCCAACTTATGGTTTATTACCAAATGGGGTTTTTTCAATAAGCTGCAAACATGGCCAAAATGTACATAAATACGCATTTATATCATAAAGATCTTACCTTTAACAGTCTTGATGGTCGTTTTCAGGTGGGTGTCGATGGAAATGCATACCACAGGGCCTGTTTCAAATGCAGCTTCGGAGGGTGTGTCATAAGTCCGTCGAACTACGTGGCTCACGAGCATCAGCTTTACTGTAAGCACCATCATGCGCAGCTCTTCATGGCAAAGGGAAATTTCAGCCAATTCGACAAGCAACATCAACAAGATGTATCCAATGGGGTGACTGAGAACACAACAGAAGTTTGATGACCTGAGATCAGATTCAACATGGAATTTCTGGAGAGAAAAAAAGCTTCGGGCTTTTCGTGTAACACAGAATCTTGAAAGATGCTGAGCTGAGTTTCGGAGATCGCCTTTTCTTACATATGTTGTTCAAAGAAAGATTGTTACAAACGTTTTGACTGCGTGTGTGTTGCTTGAATAACTTGTTTCGGAATAAGTATGTGTTTTTGGTGTTGTAACGTCTTGTATAAACGATCGAGAATGTGTGGTTCTTGTGATTATTTGAGGCTTTGGAGTGGTTTTTGATGTCCTCTCGTTATTTCTCCGTTAGTTTTTACTTCGATACATCGATAATTTGGGAAACCCCACTCGATGCATTATTTCTCCATTAGTATTTACTTCGATCGTCGATAATTTGGGGTTGATTAACGAATCATCAAAAGAGTCGAGTCGGGGTTTATTTGATGATAAAAATGTCCATCTTTGTTGCTGTTCGCTGGAAAAAAGGGGGATATAATGCTTGGATGACTGAATATTTTTCTGTCAGGCATTTCATCGAACACCTTTCTCACACAACCCATGACCCAACTAAATGTTCGTCTGTATCAGCTGTTAAAACACGTACGATTACTGACCCAAACTAAGCAAATTCACGCCCAAATCGTATTTAGATCATTAGGAGGGAGCAATAATCTAATCGGAGAATTAATTCGGTCATACAGAACGCACGGAAAACTTAAATCCGTACGGAAGGTGTTCAGTGAATACCCATCATTACCACCCACTTTTTTATGGAATCTCGTCATTCAAGCTTATTCCAAAACATCGTTCACCGAAGAATCACTGTATCTTTTCAAAGAGATGCTTCTGTATGGTGGTCGCCATTCTTTAGCGGTTCCAGATGATTACACCTTTACATTTACGATTACAGCTTGTTCACGCCAGCGAACATTGTTGGCTTTTGGTCAAAACTGTCATACCATGGTGATTAAACATGGGTATGATTCGGATGTATGTGTGGGCAATGCTTTAGTGAGTATGTATGTTGTGTATTCAAGAACGGTTTCTGCCCAGAAAGTGTTCGATGAAATGCCTCAACGAGATACAATCACCTGGACTAGTTTGGTTAAAGGGTATGCTATGAATGGCAACATGCCTCAAGCTGAAAAACTGTTCATAAAAATGCCTGACAGAAACGAGGTGTCATGGGCGGTGATGATCGCTGGTTACGTCGGGCACGAGATGTATAATGATGCTCTAAGGTGTTTTAACGACATGTTGGCTGAAGGTAATCTCGAGCCTAATGAAGCAATTTTTGTTAGCGTGCTATCGGCTTGTGCTCATCTTGGTCAAATCAGCCAAGGAAAATGGATACATTTTTACATAGACAAAAATGGCGTTCCAAAAAGCTCGAACATCGCAACTTCTCTAATCGATATGTATGCAAAATGCGGGAAAATAGATTGCGCAAAACAAGTCTTTGATGAAACCGACAGACGAGATCTTCTGACATGGACGAGCTTGATTTCAGGATTATCGATGCACGGGCTTGGTAGAGAAGCACTCCAGATGTTCGATGAAATGCTAGCAAAAGGCATCAAGCCAGATAACGTCACGCTTGTTAGCATTCTTAATGCGTGTAGCCATTCGGGCCAAGTTGAAGAAGGGATTGCGATCTTTTACAATATGGAGCGTTTATGGGGGATTTCTCCGAAAATTGAGCATTTCGGATGCTTGATAGACCTTCTGAGTCGTGCAAACCGACTTGAAGATGCATTCAAAGCCGTCAAAACGATGGATATGGATCCTGATGTCATTATCTGGAGAGCCCTCTTGAGTGCTTGTAGAGTTCATGGAAATGCAGGTCTCGCAGAGAGAATTATCCATCATGTTATCAAAGCAGGTGACGGAGGAGGTGAAGGGCATCTTCTGCTTTCGAATCTGTATGCATCTTTGGGACAATGGGAGAACGTACGACGAATAAGGGAATCCAAGATCGAGAAAGAGGATATTTCGACCCCGGGTTGTAGTTATATTGAGATCGATAGTGTCGTACATGAATTTCTTGCTGCAGATAAGCTACATCCGCGGATAGCGGAGATAAATTTGAAGTTAAATGAGGTTATGAAGAGGATTAGTTTGGATTAATGAGCTCTGTAGAGAAGAATTTGAGAATATGTGAAGAATATCACTCTGCTATGAAGTCGATCTCGTTCTTTTTCAAGCGGGAATCGTCGTGAGGGATTGTTCACGCTTCCATGCGTTCAGAGACAGACACTGCTCGTGTGATGATTACTGGTAAGAAAGTATGCAATATGGCATCAATTGAAAGAGAAAATTGTCAGAATTAAATGTTTCACAAACGAGATTGAAAACTTTTAAATATAGGTGGTTTCCAACAATCAAAGAATAATTAGCGTTAATACCAATGAGTTCTCACTCACTGATAGCATTAGTGGGACCCATCACTAATGGTGCCCTTGAAGGCACCCAGGGCCCACTGATAGTGCCACCGAAGGCACTTGTTGATCAATGCCAATGAGGGTATGCACCGGTCAGGACTACACACCATTTAAGTTTTGGCATGTTGTAGAACCACAACAGGCGCACCCACCC